TAAGTATTTCCAGCTGCTTCTTTACCCCTTATTGCCCACTCCCCTCCCCCAAATGTCTATTTCCCAGATAGTCTCTGCCAAGTCGAGAACATGGGTTATATAGTGATGTATTCTTCCTATCTATCAGAATATTTGCTATTTCTGATGAAGCTTCTCACTTTCTAAATCCTCTTGGAATATTCACCTCTGTGTTCTTTTTTCCATGAGAAAGAATATGCTTTAGCCAATTATTAGACATAAGAACACATTCTTTCACTGACCACAGAACTATAATATACCTATATAGGGCAAATTATAAACATGAATCTTATCTGTTTATTTGATAGAAGCTTGGAAAATAATCCCTTCTCCCTTCTTCTCACTGCTCCCAAGTCTCAAATCAATCATTAAGTCCAAATAATTCAAATAAAAATGAGGAAGAAAAAGTTACATTTGCTAACTGATTTTGAGAATGTGAAAGGCGAAGTAATAGCTTAGCAAAAGTGAATGAGAATATGTGGTCAGAGGGCTACAAGTTACATGACTGACCTTGGGAAAGTCATTTAATCTCTCTGTACCTCACTTTTCTAACAGATAAACAATGCAATAATACTTATTTAATGTGGGCTGTTGTGAGGATCAAGTAGGAAGGTGTATATCGAAGTAGGTTATAAACTATAAATTGATAAACAAATATTAGTTATTATTAATAAAGAAAAGCAAAGTTACATTCCACAATGTATTTTCACTTCTATCTTTAGTAGTTATTTCTAGAATACTCTTTCCTTTTTATTCAAGTAATTTATTTGTTATTTAAAATTTCTCAAAGTTAAGCTAGAGATATTTTCAGGTGCCAATCACCTGTTATAAGCCACAAAGGTAAATGGATACTATGCTACCTTCATCTCTGAAGAAACAACTTTCTCTTAACGTCTATAAACACCGATGGAAATTCGTATTCCCATGATCATTAAAAAACATGACTAAAAATTAAATAAAATAAAAAAAAAGACTGCTTCTGAGAGTTGGAATATCTGAGGAAAGCACTGCTCACTCAGATCCCATCAACATGCTTCTCATTTGAGTAGCTCAAGATAAGGTACAATCATAAAATGTTCAAGGAAAATCAACTGTGACACTGAGCAATTCTAAATTTGCGGTTGGTAAAAAACTTCCTTTGCAAGTAATAATATTTAGTTCTCCATAAAACAAAAAGATTTGTTGTAGCTCTTTCCCACACTTCCCCTCTCCAATATTTGTCAACTGAATTCACCTCCATTCAAATTAAACAAAATAAAAGGTTTTTATTTATTCAAGTATTTTACACTGAACAGCTCCCTGGAGGTTCTCCATTTACTGGCTTGGGTAATATTATCTTTCCTTTAGTTTATTAGATTGACAAAGTTAATTTAAAAATAACCTTGGGAACTTTAAGTGATTCTTGAAAGGGCTAACATGAATGCACATACGGTCAGTCACCTATCTTTTTCTGTATGTATGCTATCTCATGAAGGGATTTTTTTTGTATTTATTTTTATAATTTCTTAGAATACAAAAAAATGTTGTCAACATGAAACATCGCATCATTCTGATGATGAAATGCTTTCAGTGCTGTTCTTTATACAAGTGAACATTTCATCTAGTTTAGCCAAGGAGCAATTTGATAAAGTGGTACAACTGTTTATTGCCAAAAACTCCCCATTTTAATCTGAAATACAACCTGAGGCATATAGCACCTAATTAAATTCATGCAAAGTACAAATTATTGAATAGAAACCAAAAAGCATTCCAAAGTAAATACCAATTAATGTGACACTCAATTTCTTCACTCTAATGTGCGTGGTTTATAGACAAAACATTCAAATTCTTTTGTAGGATTCAATTAGAATATGCTTTATATTTCAATCCAAGAATCACATCCAAATGCTTTGCAAGCAGTTTGGTTAGGTATTTTTTTCTATTTGAGTCTTAACCAAAAAAAAAAAAAAAAACCCAAAAAAAGTCACTGATTTAAAAAGTTCCTCCTCAAATTTTTCTTCGTTTAATTTGAGAGGAATTCTTATTACCTAATATTTCTTCATTTAATACATGGATCTGTGCTTCTTTTGACAACAGCACTCTTTTTCCCTTGTTTCCATGACAGTGAACACACAACAGAAAACTAGAAAGCCACAAATATAGGAATTCTAACAGCAACATTCCAGTCAATCTAGTTTGTGAGACAAGACTTCAAATAATAAACCTGTGTTCAGCAAGACTCAACAAATGATTGTCTATGAAGTAATAACTTGAGCAGAGAGCCACAAGTGACTAACGGAGCACGAGAGTGGCCAAGTGTAGCTAATCACTTGTGAAAGTAATCAGCCACTTGATTTGTTTTGCCTTGGAGAGCCCCATGATCAAAGCTACTCCCAGAGAGAACCTGGCAGGCAGAGCTGATTTCAGAAGCCACGATTATGGCATCTTGGTTATAGTATACCTGTGTGTCACTCATTCACCAAATACTAACTGAGCACCTACAATGGAGAGATACTGAGATTGGTGCTAGAAAACAAGAGAAAGGCAAAGTCTATACCCTAAAGGAGTTCAACATATTTTGGGAAGAAAATCAACTCTGGTTCTTAACCAAGGGAAGAAAGCTCTGGTAATATATACCACAAATCATCACTTGATGCTTATAATATGCTTAATTATTTTAAAAAGTGGGAAACACTAATAAAAACGTTTCTTTCCAAACAATGTATAAGTTCCACTTATCAGTATAGGTGCTATTTTTAATTTTATCTATTCCCAGATTCAATTTATTTATATTGAACATTTTCCATGTACCGGGCCCTTCCACATAGCCTTTGTCTGTTTTTCCCAAGGTATCTAAAAACTGCTTTCAATGTAACAAATATTTACCTGTAAAAAAGAAAAACTTGAACTAAAAAATACCAGTTTATGCTTTATATTGTCTTGGGTTAAATATTTCAAAGGAATCTAATCTTGCAAAACCTAATAAAAACCCATTATTTAAATTATATATTTTTACTTCAGTTTCTCACAGCTCACATTTACATTAATACTAAATAAAAGTAGTCTTCAAAAAGGCAGTGCACAATGCAGGATCTTTCTGGGCAACATCATGACTATCAATTATCAATGCAATACTAAGTGTAGTAGTGCTGTGAATACCGACGGTGCTACCCTGCTGTTTAAGCCACCAGATTTATGAGGGGTTCTTTTGTCTCTGATGACCATATGAAAAAGGATCTTAACTCATTCCATTTCCAGGTCCTGAGAACGTGTGTGAAATAAACCTACCTCTAGGAAATCTCCTCCGGCTAGTTCTCTTTAACTTTGGTCTCCCTCTTTCTTTCACTCTGTCCTGACAGCCATTAAAAGGACATTTTTAAGGTTTAGGAAATAGTTAGACAAGGGTTTTCATAATCTCCTTTAATGCCTGGACAACCAGGAAAGCAAGAGGGCAAGCTTCTTGAGGTCCGGGGCTGTAAGCCTGAGTCTTTTCCTCGCCGTCAGAGCTCGGCACAGTGTGCTCTCTAAATGATTATGAAGGATGATGACAAAAAGTCTGGGCAGCTCTTCTCTCCAAGGCAGCAGCCGAGAGGTAATTCAGGCCAGTGTGCAGTATGCAAAGCTGTCACTCAGATCTCCCACTTGCCTAAGGTAGCAGATGATTGGGTTTTGCATGCCTGGTTTACACTCTTCAAATATTTATAGACAGTTCTCTTTGCCTCAAGCCCTAGTTGTCACTTAGCCAAGTTATACATACATGGTTCTTTTAATCTTTCCTTAGAAATCAGTCCCTCTAAGCTCCTTAATCATTCTAGTTGCATTTCTCTCAACTTTTGGCTGTTCGTCTTTCTGGTAATTTATTCTGTTGAAATGCATGAAAATAATACAGACTTGGAGCAGAGAAAGGTTTAGTCATCTTTCCATTTTAAGGGTCAATGCCTTTCATGTGCAAAATACAATTATTTATCCATTTTCCTTATATATGATCATGTTTAAAAAAATCACATTTAAGTTGATGGATCAATCAATACATTGCAAGAGAAAGGAAGAAAAAAGTATTATTAGTATTATATTCTCTAAGGATGATATCATCATTGATTAAATGGTCTCATGTGTCTATAAACTGATTAATTTAACCTGCAGTATTCGAACATGGGGAAAAATGGGAATCCAGAACAAGACGGTCAACACAGAGAACTTAAATGCCCATCCTAAGATAACTACCTACCTGTGGATACTTCTGACTAACTTTAGCTTTTCAATGAAACAAATTAAAAAACAAGTTAAATTTTCCCATTATAAAAGTAATACAATTAAGAAAATTTCAAATAATCACAAATGAGGACAAGTTCCCAATAGTGCACTACCCAATGACAGCATTGAACATTTCTGAAGAATCTCACTTAAGCCTTTTTTTTGGATGTACTGTTTCCTCCCCCCGCCCATGGGCATGCTCATAATCATCTGCACAGCTTAACATCTTACTTTTTTACTTAATATAACATAAAATTTCATGTGTTACATTGTCTCCAAATCATGATTTTTAATGACTACAGACTATTTCATCAAGTAAGTGGATGTGCCATAATTTTACAGTTCCCTATTGTCGGGCACTTGCATCGTTTCCATTTTTTTCTCTAGATTAAATGTCATTACAAAGAAAATCTTTGGGTATAAAGCTTTTCTGTATTTAAGATTATTCTTCAATTCATAACAGTAAAATTAATGAATAAAAGGATATCTAGAAAATAAATTGTGACAAAGAATTAATGCAAGTACTATTTGAAGTGAGAAAAAAAAACACTTTAAATACAGGTACATCTTTTGGCTCTGAGTGGTAACAAGTGAATGCTCAAATCTTAGAAAGTTGTAGAAACTGCACAGCTGTCAAAAATGGCAAATTCCAGTAAGTTAAATGTGGTACTCACTAATATGATACTTCTTGGTTCATGCTAAGTATACTGTTGACCCCCTATTAATCAAGCTTAAATTCTTAACCTTACCTAGATCTACCATCAGAAGACGAGTGAGGGCTGTGTAGAAGGTGGTTCGGCACCTGAAGTCACTGACACTGTAACTGTCACTGATGCCAAGAAAGGGGAAGTGTTCACTCTAATGAAAGCAAAAGAGCATCCAAAGTTACTAATGTTACCTAAACTACTCAGAAAACTCTAGTCATTAATTAAAGGAAACTAGACTCACCGTATGATTTTTTAGCATGAATTTCACAGCATCTATCTTCACAAGTTTTTTTAAAAGGATATAGGTAATAGAAGTTAAGGAATCTGAGGAAATGTAATTGTCTTATCAATAAGTAATAGATCACAAAATAACCTGAGCTATAATGGCATCAATTTCTCTTTATGAAGAATAAATATTGTTTCTAGAGAGTATTATTCCTATAGAAATGCCTTCCATTCTGTTAAAAAATGATAATCCATTATTAACCAGTGCAATTACTTTTCCTTTCTTATACATATTCTAGTTATGGAAAGGAAGAATGAATTTTATAATTAAGACAAAATTTTTTTTTTCTTACTATTAAAGCCTTGATAGTGGGAAATTAAAATTGACCCTTTTTAAATTTTGGGTATAACTTGAGAACTTCTTTTCACTTCATATTATTTCATAAAAAATAATTATGAAAGACCCATCATAGACTATTAAGAAAGAGAAAATTATTCAATTCTAAGAAACATGAGCTGAGTTAGCAGAGATCTAAGCAAATCCTGCTTAAGATGAAGAAGATAGAAATGTAATTAGGAGGATGTAGAAGACTGCGCATCAAGTGCTGAAGGGCAGGCTTAAAGGACCTAGTATTTCTCAAGGACCTACTAGGTGCAAGGCATTTTATATTTGTTAACTCACCTAATCTTCACAATTATATTGTTACATATTACTTATTATGCCTAATCTGTAGATAGGAAAACTCAGAGAAATTGAGTTACTTGCCCAAGATTACGCAGCTGTGGACTGCGAGTGCTGAGATTTGATTTGAGGTTTGACTACAAAGGCCATGTTCTTTCTCCTGTATCATATCACCTGAACAGTTCAACTCAGAATAAGAATAAAGTTGAAAAATCGTGAACAAGATCACAAGGCCTAGACAATTTCTGTTTCATGCTGTCATCAAAGAAGAGCTGAAGTGAGTTCTTAGAACATCTATTCAGTATAGAAACACCCTCCACTCTTACTTGGGGTTAACCCTAGTCGTGTTTCCTGCTCTAGCTGGGGCACCTCTTGGGTATTCTCCACATACTTACACCTTTCTTCAGGCCATAATAACCGTATGGGGCTCCATTCATGCCCCAGTGAATACACTGGCTCGTTTCCTTCACACCATCTTCAAGTGCAGAACTCTGTATATTGCCTCTGTACAGTGGCACTGACACGCCTAATTCTAAAGTTTAGTCACTCAGGTGTGGGTGTAAAAGAGAAGAAAATATACTGAACACAAGTCAGGAAACGTGGGCTTTCAGCCAGACTACACCGCCACTCAGTCAGTGGGGTGAGTCTGACTGCTGCACTCAGCCACTCTGAGCCTTGCTTTCCCTCTCTAACAAATGAGGTTGTCAGGTTGTAAGGATTTTTGTGAGGATCAGATGTAACCATCTTTGCCAATTATGAATCAGGGAGGAAGACACACAGAAGCAGAGAATTAACAGTTATGGAATGTAAACTTTCCAGAAGATAAGCGACTAGTATGATTCAGATTCAAGCCCCTCTAGCTCTAAAGCAACCACTGCAGTTGTATATTAAACAACTGTGTATTTGGCTTACCTCGACACTAGATGGCAAAGTGTCTAAGGGCAGGGGCCACAGCTATGTGTCTTCCTCAGTGGGTGCTCAGTGTACTGCGTGTGTCTGGTAGGCTGAAGGGCAGTAAGATCAGGGTAATAGGTAGCAAGTCTTCCCCTGTTTACAAAGATGCAGATTTGATGATTGCTCCCAGTGTAAATCACTGAGCAGAAGAACTGCCACTCAAACTTCACTCAGTTAAACAGGGGTAGGGATCAATAAGCTAAGAAATATCTTAAGTAATTACCAAATACAATTCTCTTTGAATTGCAAAGCTAAAAGTGACAGGGTCTATGGGTAGTAAGAATGCTGCCATTAATAGGAATCTTCCTGTCAGTGCTGCTAATAAAGAGCAAGTCATGTTTTGACAATAGAATATTTATGGTAGCAATAAACAGAACATTCACAGGAAGAATCTCATCTGCCAAAGACACATTTTCTGCAGAACTGCATCTGCGCACTTTGTACCAAGGCCAGCCACACTGCCTTTTAATTACATTCTAAAGAAAACAATGATTAAGAATGAATTTTTACTTTTTTCAATAAAAGAAAAAATGAAAGTTCATCTGAATATTTATATTCCCTTATATGAATTCTATTCAAAGCTAGCTATGGCCCTTAAGAGGATCTTTAATGTTTTTTTTAAAAAGGTAGATGGATATACCATTTATATAATCTATATGTATTTATACTTTCATTTTCTTCTTCTCTAATAGACTAGGGCTCTTGTAAGTTGCACCATTTTAGTTGGGTGTAATCCTAGGTTAGATTTCAGAGGCCTGCTGACAACAGTTCGTAACAGTACACATGGTAATGGTGGTTAACAGTAACAGCAACAGTAGCAGAAGTCTCAAATAGTGAGTAATTTAGTAAAGGTCACACATGGAACATATAAATGGTAGAGTCAAGATTCAAATCCAAAGTTCAAAGGTCTGTGTGACTTGAAAGAAGCAGCTCTCTTCACTAGGTTATATCATATTCATTTGATATTTTTTAAAACTGAAGTACAATTACAATGTGCCAATTTCTGGTGTACAGCACAATATCCCAGTCATGCATATACATATGTATACTTGTTTTCATATTTTTTTTTCCATTACAGGTTATTACAAGATATTGAACATAGTTCCCTGTGCTATACAGAAGAAACTTTTTAAAAATGTATTTTTATATATTATATATAGTGGCTAACATATGTAAATTGCAAACTCCCAAATTTATCCCTTCCCACCCT